GTGTCGTCAATCTGAAGCTAATTTTGGCAATAAATCATTCGCTTGAGGTCCAATCTCAAGACGTTTCTAATCTCTCCAGAGTTATAACTCACTTATAAGCATCAATAGATGTCTTGAGCAAAAATGACATCAAATACTGATTGCACTTCCTCTTTAGGGATATTAGGCTGATCTATCAAAAGCTGTTGGAAGAGACTTAAATCATTAGCCACACTGGACTTAAAGGCAATTGTTGAAGTTGCAGATAACACAGAAGATTTGAGAGGAATCTAAGCCCATCTAAGCAATCTGCAAGACTTGGGTTGATGCCAATTCGTTTCTGCAACTGTTTCATAGTTGGTTGGCCCAGTCCAGATTTTACTTGTTGTCTACAATCACGAACAATCTTCTCAAAGGATAAAACAATGGAATGAAATTCTTCCAGTGTCTTGTTCAGAAAAAAGAGAACTGTTTTGCCAATACAGCATTTTCAATACCTTGAATGCATTTCAAGGCACCATAGTTTTTGGTATTTTGAATCACCTGCAACCTCTAGATGATGGATGAGGCACTAGTAAATTGGGAAAGCAGTCTAGTTTGAAGCTCCTCCCACCTATAAGTCTCATTCTTCAATTTTCGGAACCTCTGCTGACATTTCTTAACAGTGGAATCCATACTCAAGCATTAGGGTTTGATAAGAAATTAAAAACTTTGAATATTGGGCTTCGAATCTGCGCTTCAGGAGTTCACCCACTAATTACGCTGCACCATGTTGGGACATTGAATAGCTTCACAGAATCAGAGCTTCTGCAATCTGCGTCAGACTATATTTAATTAGATTCATTTGAAAGTTGAAACCCATCAGTAAGCCTTTAAAATAGCTAATAACACTCATCTGAAGCAAGTTTATCTATTTCAGATTTTCAAGCCACATCTAGCCTTTGTATAGTGGAATGATCGAATCTGCTGATAATTCATTTGCCTAGACAGACGACTGCAAATTTGCATTGACAATTGACATCTAGCCTTTCTTTTTTTTATAAAATCACACATCTTACATTTATTTATATTATTATTTAAACACACCAAAAGTACAAGATAATACTGCTAATGTTTAGTAAAACATTAGAGGTATTAAACCATTTTAAAGCAAATGGATATGTGTGGTGGAAAGCTAATGGAATAAATGGCACAAAACTACAAAAGAAAGGTAGATGGATGATTATAGAGGCTATGGAAGATATATGCGCTTTTACATTTTTCCAGCATTTGGATAATGATATTAATCAGTGAAGATGAACAATTTCGTGACATCACCCTCTTTTTACACAAGTAATATGGCATGTGATATCTAAGTTCTTCTTTTAGAAAATATTTTAACAGTTTCATTTGTTTTAAAAAATTTACAAATAACCAGTATCTTCACTTATGCGTTGCGCAGGTGTAGGAACAACATAAACGTTAATGTTATATGTAAAAACCTATCGTACGAAGTATAAGATAGTAAAATAACGTATGATATAATTAAATGAGTAGCGGTCTTGTCAGACCAGCCTCACAGGATTCGCCATCTGGCGGAGGGCATTTGGAGCCTAGCCCTTCCCGGTGGAATTTTTTGAGCATGTTCTTCATCAAGTCTAGTTTATGCCCACCAAAATTTAATCGGGAAGACAGTTAAATAAATTCTCTACAAAAACTACGTTGTTTATATATATAAAGCACATTTTTTGTAAGGAATTTATTTGTCTATCTTCTAGATTGAATTTTTAGTTGAAATTTGGTGCGGATAAACTAGACTTGACGAAGAACATGCTCAAAAAAAATCACAAAAAAGAGTCTCAAATGGCCTCAGCATGACGGCGGTTCCCGTCAGGATGGCCTGATACGATCTGCCCTCATTAAATGAAACGTTCAGAAGTCAACAAAACTACTACGGAAGTACAGAGTATGTGCCACACACATACAGACACAGTAGACAGATACATACGGAATAATTTTGTACAGAGATCGGGAACAGTTCTAATGAAAATCATCATTCTTATTTTGAGAATACATGAAACGATAAAGATTGCAGTTCATTGGGATGATTCATGAAAATACACAGTTCAATTAGAACAACGTGGAAACTGCAAAACTCTTTCCAGCATGTAAATCAATGCCCAAAAGAGTTGCTAATGCATGAGAAATGAAATAATATTAAATAACTCTTTCAGTACTTTCAATAACTGTTTGTCATGTCTAAGTGTCATGGTAAAGTAGATTTACCAACCGCAACAACAGCAACAAAAAAATCATGTACATGGTAACCATTTTAATGAACGGACACCAAGAGATGATTTTCTACTTCATGAACCAATAAATACACAAGCAAATGATGAAAGAAGGAAGTATTTAGTTGTGTATGCAATTCAACTAATCTACACTAGCTTTTAGTCTTTTACATACTTCACAACTACATACACAAAATGGATATAGCCAATGTACTTTTATGTTTTGAGCGTATTTTCTGTTTAAATGACTTGACCCACCCACTAACATATACAGAGTATTTCAGGAAATAGAAATCAGCAATATTTTAGGCAAACTTTAATTTACTATAACTTATTTGAGTTTTTTTACTCCCACTTGTTTGATCTCAGTAATATGTAAGGGTTACTACCCAGCCTCCTACTCTAAGGTACCCAAATAAACTCAAAAGCCCAGTGGAATGTATATGAACAAATTAAAAACAGCAGTTTGTAAGACAAATGTTAAACAAACCTAATTAGCTCATTTGATTTCAGCAATAAATGCGCTTTCCTACCCGCCCTTCTACTCCATGTTACCAGGGCTGGTCCTCAAATGTTTTAGGGCCTAGGGGCGAGTCTCTGTAACAGGCCTAATCTAAAAAAAATTAGAAAACTCTTTTTTTTTATCTAAACTAAGATGTAAAATAATAAGTTTTCAAAAAATTTATAATATAGAAATGACTTTTGTAATTCGTTGAATTACATAAGTAGAATCATAGTTACAAAATAAAAAATTAAATTTCAGTACTCCACAATTCATTCATTCATTTATCGTTCTATTAAATAAGTAGAATCATAGTTACAATATATCAACATTCAACAACCAACAAATGAACTAATTATTTATCAACTATTCACTCAATTATAAACATTAAACAACTAGCAATTGCAGTAATGAACCAATGAAATAATCAAAGATTAAAAGAGTCGAAGAACGAGGAGATGGGAGGAGTACCTGAAGTGTGATACCTGAAAGTGAGAGGTGAGAAGGGTCAATTGGCCGAAGCGCTGAATTGCAGCAGGTGATGTAAACAAAACGCATCTATCTTATCATGCATCTAAGTTAAAGCAAGACTTTCCAAATACTTTGTTATTTCAGTAAATAAAAATAAAAATACTAATATTTTTAACATAATCTTGTTCACTGTGGGAAAAATTTATATGTTTATATTGCGTTTCTGAATTACTATAACATTATATGAATTTTGAGAATACAATGATTAGATGACCAGTGCACATGGTGGAGATGACCAGTGCATATGGTGGAGCTCAGGTTCAGAAACACCATGAATAGAGCTTTTTAAACAAGCCATGCACGAACAATTCACACCCATGCAGCCAAGGTTCCATCATTTGTGGCCCTAGATCCTGGTTTGCTTATTTAGTCATTTCCTGAAACGGATTTCTAATAGGCGGCCAACAAGGTGATGTAGGTGTGCCTGTGGTATTCCTATTAGAAAAAAGACCAAAACCAAATACCCCCCTCAACCTAGATCAAACTCTTCTACTCCTAGCCACTAACCTTTCTGCAGTCATCTTTAGGCTTTCCTCAAAAAAATAGTGGTGATTGTGAAGTTCATGTCTGAACAAACTCAATTCTGATTTGTCATCCCCTTTCTCCTTTGCTGAGAAACATGTTTGAACTTCAATTCTAAAGTAAGACATGGTATAGACAAACATCTCAAGCAATACATTAACAGCATAAAAATCTAATAATACAAACTTTCGTAGCACATTGTAACACAAATTCCTGCTACATCCGCCCCAAATGGTTTGTCAGCTCCATCTTCCAAATTGGATGACAAAGTTAACTCACTCCTGAGAATATTTATATGAGAGAATTTCCCAAATAGGAGCAAAACATAGGCAAAATGCAAAAATAGGAGTACCATGTTTTGAATAGGAGTAACTTTAGTGTTTGGACAAGTATACCTCTACCCAAGCCCCAACAACTTTTAATTAAATGTTTAATTCATAATAAATTTCGAAAAAAATTCAAAAAATCGTAGAAAAATAATTAAAAAATTCATAAAATATTATTAAAATAAAAAATTTAAAAAATATATTTTTTTAAATTTTTTATTTTTAAAAAACAAATTAATAAAAAATAGTAAAACTACATAAAAAAATTAAAAAAAAATATGGATGTCTTTCCCACCGCCTTTACTACTTGCCTGCACCACCACCTCCGGGCGGTGAAAAAAATTTCATTTTTTCTAAAAACTGCCTTTTTCCTGAAAATGCCTAAAACATGGCATATTTCTCTTTGCGAATGCCAACATTTTCATTGTTTTCTGCCATAAATATGGCATTCGTAATGAACTTGGCATTTTTTTCCCTGGTGGCTGGAGGTGGTGCTGCTGAAGCAGCGGTGAATTTTATTTTATTTTTTTGAGTTTTTTATTTTTTTTAAAAAAAATTATATTTTTTGAAAAATAAATAAATAAATAAATAATTATTATCGAATAAGTCATAAATTAACTAGGTTATGATTAAATAAGTCATATTTTAGAATTAACTAGGTTAGGGATATTAAGGGTACAAAATTAATGTTTACTCCTATTGAAGGAAGTTTTAAGTTTTACTCCTATTTGTGCAATTATGTTTATATTTACTCCTATATTGGGCAATTTCTATATTTATATTTAAAATTAACATACCAAGAACTTACCCTAGAGGTTCTAGTGAGCCAAACAAACCAGTTCAGTTTTTAACGTAAACTACAAGCTTAAGGCAATGTAAACATAACACTATTGAGTAAACAGAGGTATGGTTCTTATCAAGAAGGCAATGCATATATTTTTACACAACAGCAGAGCATCAGGTGAAAAAAACATCTTTAATCTTAGCTCACCTACTAAAACTAAATCGCATAAAAGAAGGTTTGGCAACCTAAGCTACCCAAACTGTTGCAATGAAAAATGCATGTTCAATGCCCCCTCTCAAAGTTAACCCTTGTTCTGCCAGATCCTCCTCTGTCGTAGCCATCATCTCGTGAGGAGCCCCCACTGGCCTTCATGGTACCTCCAGTGCCCACCCTGTCCATGGCTTTCTTGCCCTTCTTCACCTCCGTCAAGAACTGGTCCAACCCAAACGGATCAGCCTCCTCAGCCTCCTTCTTTTCAAACTCTAGTGGTCTATCTCGTGGACCAGTTCTCTCAGAAGTTCCAGTGAATCCCTTGTCAGGTTTAAACCGTTCAGTCTTCATAATCTTATCCATTTGTTCATCCTCACCACCATACATCTCAGCATCTGTATCTTTCTTTGGTTTGTAAAGAGTGGAGAGGGTAGGTTGGGCAGTGAAGAGACCCTTGTCATAAATATTATATGCATCATCAGTGGCAAATCCAGAGTCCATCCCCTTCTCCTGATTAAATAACCTCTGGTCGTACATCACCTCTCCTCCTCTTGCCGTGGAAGCCATGCCAAGAGCCATCTTCTCACTGACATCACGATCTCTGTCCCGAGTGATCTTACTTTTCTTCCCCATAGCAGCATCTTTAGCCTCCAACCTTCGCTCCCTCTCCCTCTCCCGGCGTCTCTCTTCACGGATCTTCTCTCTCTTCATTCTCTCTTCTTTTTCCTCTCGGCTCTCTTTAGGCGGTGCATGCTGATGCTCGTAATCATCATCCACACTAATTCCAGAAGGCATAGCAGCAGGTGCAGGTGGTGGCGGTGCAACACCACCCCCACCACCAGTTCTTTCAGACCTTGCCTTCCGGGCCAACTCACGAAGTTCAATCTCCTTTCTTTCTTTCTCCTTCATCATCATCTCCCTCTGCACCTTAGATCGCATGGCAACAGCTTCTCTGGCCTTCTGTTCAGCGACATACAAAGCCTCTGACAGCTTGGCAAAGTTGTCATTGATCTGGACCTCCTGAAGTCCCCTACCATCAGCAGCAAGACGCTTGTCGAGTGGAATCGTATAACCTTTCGGATTTTTCCAGTTGGAAATACAAGGAGGTATCTTCCAGTCTTGTTGGTCCTTCACAGTGACAGGACGGGGTGGAGAATGCATGACAGGCACAGGAGGAGAGCCAGAAGCCTTTGGAACTCTTTTGTGTTTGAACTTTGGTGGCTCTAATGGGTCAACAGGCATCTCCACCATCCTAATGATCCTCTCCTTTGCACCTGAGTTAAAAGCAGCTGACTGTTGGGATGGTTTGTATTTGATATACTTTGAGTCTGAGGATTGTGTGGGAACATTCTTGGGCTGTGCCGCACTCAGCCTCACATTAACTATTTTCTCAAGTGCAGCTTTTGTCTCCATGGCAGTGTCCTTGATTACCTTCTGCTTATCATCACTATCCATCTCTTTTTCATCAATTTCATCTTTCAGTACTTTGGGAATGAGATCTGTGTGCTGAGAATACACAATTTTCTTTGAGTTCTCATTTTGCTTCACAATGGCATCATACCTGACATCACCATGTTCATCAACCGTAAGAGGTAATGTCTTGCTTGGAGGGTTGCGGTCCTTTTTTCTCCCCATATCAAGAGGATACTGCGCATAATGGATTTCTGGGAAGGCACCTCCATCCCCAAAATCCTCAAGCTTAGATGGCCTAAACCCAGCTCTTTTCAAGTAAGGGGGAACTGGTTTTGCCTTGATAACTGCAGCTATTTCTGCCTCAGGGGCACTGTACCGGTTCTTAAACCATGGGTCATTTGAGTGGTCATATTTCTCACTGCTATTCGATTTTACTGGCGGTAGAATGTCTCTCAGACCCATCTTGGAAGACGCCAATCAGAACCAAAATATACACAGAAAATATAAAAAATACAATATCAATTCTATGGATCAGTGCGAAGTAAGCACTCAAATTACATCTGTATATATATATAAGCTATACCGCTTGGGATAGCTGTTCCCGCGTGACAATGATGATTTCACTGAGACATCGTGCTCACAGTTAATCTGCAGAATTTTGGCTCTCTTCCGTACGAAGGCAACACTGCCAGCGTATTGGCTGATCATTAAATTACAGCTTATTACAACTCCTTAATTTAGAAAATTATTCATCGTTTAAATGAAAGAACAGATGAAGAACGAACCTCAACAACACCCTCTAAGATTCATCTATTCACTGCTGATAAGATACAAAAAGATATGTAAGAACAAACTAAATAAGATGCGATAAAATAACAACGGTTAGTAATAATCGACTAACCTCAGGATATTAGACGAACGGCGTAGTTAGACTTCGTCCGACCTAAGGTGAAGAGAGCAGTATGACCGCCTGGCAGAGAGATGAGCCGTAGAGGGAGATGGAAGAAATACCAGCGGAAGTGAGATTACGTTATTCCAGATCTTGGGCATGTCATTTTCTAATTGGACCGGATCAAACACTTTGGGTCAGTTTTTTTACAATTCATTGAAACCGGTAAAATCTATTGAAACTAATAAAATTCTAATTGAACTGATCGACTTTACTAACTTGGTGATCAACGGAAATATTATATTTAAAAGTTTTTTAATGATAGGTAAATAAAAAATCTTAGGGAGTATAAAATAGTTACAATGATCTTTTACGGTAATTTCAGTCAATTCAATTATAAAAGTAACTTAAAACTTACTTATGTTGATTATTATATAATTCACCGCTCAAAATCAAAAGTTAGTGGAATTAAATTGGAAAGTAAATATTAAAGTTAGTAATAAATTTCAAAACCAACATGTTTTAAATCTCATAAATTAATCTAAAATTTAACATATGTGTAAAATTCACTCACATCAATAAACATTTGAAATTTTTAAAGAAATTTTATAAATTGCTTTAGCCACAATTAATTAATTTATATACACTATATTTATTAATCTTGTTGTTTACTATCACTTTCTTACAATCATGTTGTTTACTAAAAATGTTGTAGCATGTGTATTCATTTAATTGAATTTCAATGTTATCTAGAAGAATTGGAACGTGTGAAAGCAAAGTGTGCAAGGTTGAAAATACATTTAAAAACTTTACTACCATGTATGGAATTGATGATGAATACTGATCAATATTGTGATGCATACTTTCAACTACTACTAATAGTTATAGAAGAATATTACACATACTCAAAATATTAATATTTAAATTTCATGCGAGTTGATTGGAATTATTTGTGTCGTCTAACCGACACAAAATTACATTCAATTAGAAAAAAATATTTGTAGACTAAAAAATATACTTTCACCAACTTCTTCTTCACAAACTACGAATCTTAGAAATTTTATGAATTCGGTTATGATATATAGAAATTGATTTAGATAGGACTAAAACTTAGATAAAGTGCACACATAGGACTATATGTGTTTTATTTCCAAAACATGACTTATTTGATCCTATTAAAAGTATAAAATTTCCCTTATTAGGAGTGAATACGTCTTATTTTAGGAAAGATCAATGATGGCTCTATGTGTGCAATTTATCTATCATTTTGTCATTTTTTTTTTCTTTTTTTTAACCCGGAAGGCAAACCACCAAAACCAGTGGGACAAATGTCGGGGAACATTTGTCGTTATTTTATTGAAATAATATAATGAAAAAACAAATGAGAGGGGGACCAAACCAAACCTCTCATCAGGGACATTCCCCTGGGAAATACATGGAAGCAAAATTAACAAAAGAGAAGTAAACGAAATTTTTGGGGGCTAGACCTGACCCAAAATTTAAAACAATTAAGAACGTATACTAGGAATACCAAAAAAATCAGCATAGTAATTAACTTTAACAATAGTTGGTAAAAGAGAAACATTATCAAACCTAACACCCTGGCCGTGTGAATGTGATGAGATGCTAAAAAATGTGCCGGTCCATTACCTTCCCTGGAAACATGTCCGAAAGAATAGCCCATTTCCATCGCTTTCCTTCTAAAACCCATCTATCACTTTGTCATATATAAGGAATTTTCAAATAAGTCATAAGTCAATAAACGTATCGTCTCTCTTCTCTTATTCCTACTACTTGAGGTGATACATTCTTATTTTAATGAGGCGTATGTGCCTCAAGTATTATATCACTATTTCAAAATTTTAATATTTATTAACAATACGGTATTATTTAGACATTTCATATTTGAATATGGGACATCCATCTTACAAGTGTCAACAATATGGAGTTGCTTTTTTGTGCGATGAAAGGTTAAGGTCGTACTGTAAATCGAAAAAAATGAAGTACTCTTTGTGTTGTGTCTAAGGTAAAATAAAGCTTTCACTAATGAAAAGACCTCCTCAAATCCTACTTGATCTATTATATAGTGATGATGAAAGGAGCGCCCATTTTTTACAAAACATACGAGCATATAATAATATTTTTTTCTTTCACGTCAATGGGAAAAATACATTGATGATAGTCACAACATTGGTAAGTCTCCTCTAATTTTTAAAGTACATGAATAAAACTACCATTTGATCGGGAGTCAGATGATAGAGCACAACGGAGTACCTAAATTTGCACAGTTATACATTTATGATACTACAAATGATTGAGGTTGTCAATCGAATGAGATTTGTTATGTAAGTATTTTCATTAGCATATTTACTAAAAATGTAATACTGTTTATTAAAATTAAAATTCTATAAATAAGTGGATGATAAGACGAGAGATTTCATCATAAAATGATAACCTAATAGGAGGAGTACCCCAACACCTTATATAGTGTTTGATTTCCTTATATCAATCCGGTGTGAGAATAATACTTTAACATGCCCCCTCAACTCAAACCGGCTGAAAAACATCAGGGTTACATATGAGCCAAAAAAATCCCTAGCGAGCTACGTACACTTAAATTAGTCATGTGCGCTAAAAAATCATATTACGATCGAACCTGACTCTGATATCATGTTAAGAGTTGGGGTTCAAACAATCCATGTGATACCATTTTATAGCTCTTATAAAGCTTCTATACAAGACTCTGGTTTAGGAAAAAAAATATAACAAGTCTTTAATAAAAATATTATTGCTAGAAAGGGAGGGTACATCCTTAAATGAGTATCAAATGTTTGTTAACCTCTTTGCAGGACTGTCATGTGTGGTACCTGATCATATTGATCCACACACATGATAATATAATGCCTTGTTGAACATTCAACATGTGCAAAATTTGAGGGAGAGTGTTTCTTTTTAACTCCTCCGATCCTAGTGCTAATTAGGAGGGAGCTTTGAATTTTTCTGAGGAGCAGTTTTCATTTTTCTTCTCAAGTCTTAACATGGTATTAAAGTTGAATTGATTGTGTGGGTCCTCTATGAAAAATGATGACATGATAATAAGAAATTACAATAACGAATCGTTGAAAATATTAATGATATAGCACGATCTAGACAAAGTCTGTGGTCGTGAGAAGGGGTACATGTTGAAATCCTACACCTAAACTATGAAGTACTACGTAATAAAGTGTTATACTAAGATCTAGGGCTACTCCTCGATCATATATGTAACCTCAAGTTTTAATAAAGAAAAAAATGACAGTAGTAAGACTTACAATAGGTAACTGTAACTGGCAAATTAGGTAACTGTAGTTGTTAAGATTATGTAATTGTAAATGGGATGGGAGGGTATAAAAGTCATATATATATATATGTGTGTGTGTGTGTGTGTGTATATATATATATATATAATATATATATATGTGGGGAAGAGTTCAAATAAAAAGACCCCTTCCCGTGCAAAGTGCGAAGAAATGCACTTTTGTATGTTTCGCTTGCACTTTTGCGTGTTTCTCTTTCACTTTTTCGCGATAACGAAAAAGTACAACATATTTACGAAATTGCCACCGCGATTTTGGTCGAATTTTGTGCATTTTTGGCTCATTTTGAGCCATTAGATGTGGAAATGAATGCACAAGATTCATTCTCACTTTGCATGGGAAGATGTCTTTGTATTTGAACCATCCCCTATATATATATATATATATATATATATATATATATATATATCTTTTTGAAAACATTTAAATGTGGTACTATTTTTGTTCATGAGTTTTCATTTAGTAGTATTCATTTCAAAATCACGGTAATAAAAATAGAAGTTTATTTGTCCTTTTACGAGTTTTCAAAATAATGTTGGAATAAAAAATGAGTTTTTGTCACTTTAAGTTTTCTGATTACTATGTCACCAACACTTTTGGACGTTTGGTCCTTTGACTATTGTGCGAAAATAGCTTTGGTAGCTGTTTTTGAAAATTTTTATATTTAGTCTTTCAACTAATTTCATAAGAATGACATTTTTTGTCTTTCAACTATTATAACAGTGACATTTATAGTCAACACTTATTGTGTCAATAATATAGTGAAACAATTAAAAATGTCAATTTAATAAAACTCATATGATTGAATGTGGGAAACTATAAAATTAGAGATTAAAAGTGTCTTTTGCGAAATAATCGAGGATTATTAAAAATATAATGAAAAAATCGACATCCAAAAAATGATTCTCACACAATAACTGGGAGATCAAAAGTGGCTAAAACTTATTGAAAAAATATTAAAATTGACAACTTTTCAAATGACTATTCCTTAACTTTTTCAAGAAACCGAGCCGATCATTCAATTACTCCCTATGATTTAAGATGTTTTTACCTGGACTGTAATTTGCTGGTCTAGTCTGGTCTGGTCTGATCTGGTCTGATCTGGTCTGGTCTGGTCTGGTCTGAACTGGTCTGGTCTGGTCTGGTTTCTTTGTATTTTTATAACTATCCAAGTCTGGTCTGGTCTGATCTGGTCTGATCTGGTCTGGTCTGGTCTGGTCTGGTCTGATCTGGTCTGATCTGGTCTGGTCTGGTCTGGTCTGGTCTGGGACGAATTACAGTTCAAGTAAAAACATCCTTAAAAGTTGAAATCAAATCAAACATAATAATATAATTCGTACCTAATGCTGGTTAATTAACTTAATTAAATTAGAATTAGAAGGTTGCTTACACAGTTACACCTACGAAACACAATTAACCTTAATTTGGTCATATCCATTGAACTGTTTCCCATGGTACACCTCATCATACTCCTAACTTCTGATTAAAAACCGTCTTTGCTTGATGACTTGTGATTCTCCATGTTTAAGATGTAAATTATGATCTTACTTTCTGGCCGCCAAAATAATGCATTTTCAATTAACTGAAAGAATATAATATCTGGTTGGCGTGGTAATGTTCACTATTTAATTTGTTCAAAGTTATGTTTTAATTCCAGAATCTCATACCAAAGCTTATGGATATAGCGCGCGTAACTAGCTAGCTAGTAGTTAGGTTGATATATTTCTCATGAAGTTTGACAAGTTAACTTGAAACAAACAAAATTGTTCAAATCATAGATGGACTTTAAATAGAGGCCACCTATCAAGCATAAGGTATAAATATATATATAAT